ACGAAAGGGTGCGGTTCCATCATAGTTGTCGATCTATAGTGGATCTCGACCTTTCATTTGTCGAGCAATCTTGGCCCTTGGATGTGGCCACATGTCAATCATCTGCGACGGGTGATCAATTGTCAGACTACCACAATCATAAACATACCACACGTCGCCTCAACTTCGCGCATGGACAGATGTAGTCGCCCACATGCGACGAAAAACAATTGCCAAAGGCTGCCGCATTTAATGCTACATGACTGCGTGGAAGTTACACATATACCCTTCATTTCAAATTCCGAGTTTGTCAAGTATACCATAGCAGAGGAAAAGCCAAGTGTTGAGTACATTGATTGGAGATGAGTCTGACTCATGAAGCTCAATCGAATTTACATTCACGCACAACCGATGAAATCCAAGCTTGATTCCAAATCGAGTAATAGTCTTTGAAGCTCGAAACGAGCATCGAACACTAAGGGGCAAATGTTGTGTGTGATTTCTCTATCAAGCTCGAAGAATTGCGAGGTTATAGCTCGATTCAGAATCAGTTCGACTCAATCGATTGTCCGACCTAGCATAAGCTCGTTGAGTTGTAGCTCAACTTAGCATAAGCTAGTCGCGACCAATCCTTATAGTTGTTCAACCAACTCACAGATAACTTCATATGCCAGATGTTTGGGTAGGGATCAGATCAACAACAATCTTAGCGCAATCTTAGCGCTCAATCGCGAGAATATCGGAGTTGCATTTTAATCTTAATTGTAATCCCTTTATTTTCGCTATTTCCTTAGTACAAAATCTATATACCCCTACCAATGATGAGAAAGGTGTTAGCAAATTATTCTAGGACCATTATTGTAAGCTTTCATAGCAAATACAAAAACAGTGGACGTAGGCTCAAGAATTTAACTCGTGGAAACACTTTAAAAACTCATTGTGCCATTTACTTTATTGTATTTTCCATTTATATATTGCTGGTTACCCGCGATCACGCACACATCTATTATAATTCCATCAAGGTTAATTGGATCGCTCTAGTTGGTGTATTTTTGCATCAACAATTATATATTTGGATTATTGTGTGTTAATATTGCCTATATATTTTATAACTTATAGACATTTGAAACTTACAAATTAACCTATTTACCTATAAACTTTTGGAAGGATGAATGTCATCCAATGGTTTTTAAGGGTTAATATAAGTATGATTGTCCACAAATCGATATTCTCCCCATTATCATTTATAGATACTTTAATTATCTTAAAGCAAACCTTTTATGAATCATCCATATATTGCCATATCTCCCTTAAAAAATAGGTTATGAAACCTTTATGTATATATGATTAATGATGTAAAAAAAACACAGAAATATATATTCATATCATATCTATTAGATATATGTTCATACATTCATGAAATTTGCAGAAGTGGAATAACTTTATCACTAACCTCCAGCCATAGCCATTTGTTGTTGCTGTCTTCTTCAAAGATTACAGATTCTTCCAATGCACTGCAATTCTTAGAACGATGGTTTTGGGAATATCATAATTAATTAGGTGTATTGGGGACCTGTAACTATTCCTCTTTTAAAGTACACATAAGTCTTTCCATCAAAGACAATTGTTGGGGATAGCTGCTCAACTGCTAAGAAACCGCTCAACAGTTAAATATTATATAAAACTAATATATAAAAGTGCAGGACCAAATAGTAATTTTAGTCAATGAATTTTAATTAATTAAAATTATGACCCATTGACCCGATTTGACCTTGGACCGCTCTGTTGACCTGGTTTGACTTTAGACCAGGATTGACTAGGTTGGGTTGACCCATTGGGTTGTTGATCGAGTTTGACTAGGTCAAATTGACTTGATTTAACATTTGACTTTGATCGGGTAAAACTGACCCCTTTTTCCTTCATTGGGTCAATTTGACCTGTTGACCCAGTTTGATTGGTTCTTCTTGACCCGGTTTTTGCAACTTTTTAACCCATTTTCTACAGTTTTTAACAGCCCAATTATGACCAATTTTCTGGCATTTAAGAGAGGGAACTTGAATGTGGACATATGACATATGTCGGTGGCATCCCAAATGACGTTTCCGTCCCAAATTCATGCTGTAAATGACAGTCGAATCACCCAAACTGTGATTTTTACCGAAACTTTAAACTAGCATAACTTTGCAATCGCAATTCCGTTTTTGGCAAATAATATATCATTGGAAAGCTCTTTCAACAAGGATTCCAATGATACCAAAATCGAAAATAAATATGATTTATACAAAAAATTATGTCCTATTAAAGTTATGGGTTTTAATATAAAAAGTCCCAATTTTATGCAATATACTCCAAATTTGCAATAAACAATTACATGCCAAGTAGAGATTAAAAGAAGGAAAATGATAGAGTTACCAAAAAGTTTACACCGAATTTGTGCACCGAATGACGTGGCAAAATCCCGACCGTTGATTAATATTAACTGATAATAAATCAACAGTTAGGATTTTATTACGTCATTCGGTGCACAAATTCGGTGCACACCCGTTGACAACTGTAGCATTACTCTTAAAAGAAAGGCTCTAATACCACATGTAAGATCAATAATGTAAAACACACTTAGAACAACATGTATACATATTCATATCATATCTATTATATCCATGTTCATACATTCATAGAATTTACAGAAGCGGAATAACTTTATCACTAACTTCTAGCCATAGCAATTTGTTGTTGTTGTCTTCTTCAGAGATTACAGATTCTTCCAATGCACTGTAATTCTCAAAATGGTGGTTTTGAGAATATTAGAATTACTTGTTATATAGGCGACCTGTACTTGTTCCCTTTTTAAAGTACGCAGAGGTCTTTTCATCAAAGATAACTGTTAGGGATAACTACTCAGCAGTTAAATATTATATAAAAGTGCAGAACCAAATAGTAGTTTTAGTCAAGGAATTTTAATTAATTAAAATTATAACATATATATACCGAAAATTAATTTAAAATCCTTTTTTTTTAAAAGAAATGAAATTTCTTCGTATGATTTGCAATTCAAAATAATTTAAAATAATAAAGGTATAACAAAAATTTGAACCATATCTAAAAACATACGAGATACGAAAAACATGTTAAAAGCTAAAAGATATGAAAAGCTGATAATTTTATTTCTATCAGTTTTAATTGAGAGATATCTTCTGTAATTTGTAATTTTGAAAATAATTTTTGATTATAATATCAGTCAGAATTTCTAATATTAAAATATTGAAATATAAAAAAATATTTATTATTATTCTGTATAAGATAGTAATGTTAGATAATAAAATTAAATCAAGTATATTTAAATCAAATAAAAAGATAATTAAAATATTAATATTAATTTTTAATTTAATAATATTTCTATAGCAAAATAATGTTTAACATAATAATTTTAATTATTATTTTATTTGATTTAAGAATAAAACTATGTACACTAACTAATGAGTATTAATCCAAGAATAAAACTATATTTCTTGCAGGCATTGTTTTAAGAATAAAACTGTGTACACTAACTAATGAGTATTAATCCAAGAACTAACATTGAAAATTTAAAATTTTCTTTAAAAAAAAATTTTAAATTTTCAATGTTAATACTTAGATTAATACACATTGGTTAGTACATATAATATTATGCTTGTTTTAAAACTCTGAGTAGACAACCGATTCGACTAGAAACCAGACTTTTATCCGCTCCAAGTATATTCTAAACCCGATTATAGCAGTTGAATCGGATTGGCCCAGAGTTGAACAGGAGGAACGACGCCAAATCGCCAGTTCAACTGCTTGGTCAAAGAACCGGTGGCTAAACTGAAATCCTAATTCCTAAAATTAAAATATTCTTCAATTTCAATCTTCCGTTCTTCACGGAATCCATCGCCTCCACACGCAAAACCAATAATTTCAATCTCTACCCCATCACTTCCAGTAGCTCCCCTCCATTGCATCGCCAAAAATACAAGCTTCCTAAATTTGATTCAATGTTTGATAAAAATGAAATAAGATAAACACCTACCACTTAGATCAAAATCATAAAGCCAATTTAATCCTCAAACTCTTTTTAACCTCAATCGTTATAGTAGATGATAGTGGTTTTGGCTTCATCAGAGACGACAGAGCTTGTCAAATTGGAGAGGGTTTAGAGCTTAACAACGATTGGAGTTGCTTTAGAGCTCATCAGTGGCGGAATTGTAGATGGTTTAGATCTCGTCAACCACGGTGATTGAAGATGCGCAAGGAATTGTTGACAATGGCTAGGGATTTGAGGCTACGTTGATGGGCAGCCGTGGTGGAATAGGGTACAAAAATCAATTATAGAATTAGGATTTATTCTATACATATTTTATCTTTTCATCTGTAGACCTCTATGTCTTAAAGCCGAAAGGTCGAGGATTTATTGAGATTTTCACTTGAAGCAAACTTGCAGTCAGTTCTGCTTCAAATCTTCAGTCTTTTGGATTTTGGATTTAGATCTAATTATTTTAGAAACTTATTATAATTTTAAAATTTTATTATATTATGTTGACGTCATGAATCCGACTGACCCCAAGAACTGACTCTTTGATTGGGTCAGGTCTAGTCCGGGTCTAATAAGATTGCTTGTAGAAAGGAGAATGGGACTATGATAATTCTCCTTAAAACGAAACCAAACACTGGGATTGATAAAAGAATTGTCCAATCCCGCTTTTAATCCCATGTCCCAAACACTACCTAGGTAGCATTCACATGGGACATAAAATGCAGAACCTAAAAACAGACCATTATTATTTAAATAAATTCTATATTTTTATTTAAAAATAAAATTGTTTGATTGTCGTAAATTTTAAGCACCACCAGCGTATATTATTTTCTACTTTACATTATGTTCACAAAAATAAAATAAAAATTTCAAATGGAGCTGCCAGGGCATTTCAGACAAATAGTGAAACGTTCAATAGAATTCCAGAGAATCGGAACTAAGTAATAAAGAGAAAAGATGATCTAAAATACTTTTATACCCTTGTCCCGTCTCAAATCCTTTTTCTGATAATCGTTTCATCTTATATTTTCTATTAAACTTTCCTTTCCCTTTTCTCGAGAAAATGGCAGAAATTAATACCAGCTCAATGGCTCAATGAATCTCCAAACATGAGGGCCTCGATATGGACAGATGATCCAAACGCGCCATCAACCTCAAGCTCGCAGCCACGCTTTCCTTCTCAAGCTGCGCCAAACCACTCCAATTCCCGTGTGAGGTGTGCTCTTGATCCCGAGCTATATAAATTTTTATTTTATTATCCAAGTTCTTGCTTATTTATTTTCTGATGTTTACGTATTTCATTTAGACATTTATTAATGTCGCTAAACTATTTAAAGTTTTGAATTTTCGGTACTGAAGTTCAATTGAGTGTCTTCTAGCCTGTAATTTGTTTATTATTTTTGTCAATACAGCTGTTTGTGAAATTTCTATGACAAATTCATGTAATTTATTTTTATTTGATTATTTTTTTTAGCAGTTTGTTTTGTTCACTTGTTTACAGTTTTAGCTAGTTTCACTAGGTGGTGATTTAATGAGTGCTTTTATTATTTCAAACTAACCATAAATCCCTTCTTTACAAAGTGACTTAAGCTGCTGTGTGATTTCCACATTATCTATTTTGATTTGCTAGTTTAGCTTATATTCTCTCCTACGTGTCTTTCTGCCACTTTAGTCTGTATAGAGAATTTTTACTGGTTGTATAGTTTTGTATTACAAGATTCATATCTGGGCCTGTGCCGAGGTTAATTTTGATGATGGCAGGTAGCATTTTCTTATTTCTTCTCATTTGTTGTTCTGTGGCCTAGATAGAACTGTAGCTAATTTAGTTTTGTTTTATGAATTGGGTTGTGGTAGCAATGTGTTCAGACTATTGTCGCGAAGAGAGGTTTGTCCTCGAACAAAGCGTTTGTCCAAAAGACGATGGAGAGAAGCTTCAAAGCAGTGTTCTAGTTCCTTGGAGTCAAGGTTTGAAAAGGAGCAAGATGCAAGACGAGGTCTTGTCTCATGGTAAATGATGGGTTTTATTGTTTTGCTTATGTTGTCTTGATGCTTGGTAGGAAATGTTAGCAATAGTACTCAGTTTTGTATGGTTAAATTCATTGTGATGTTTTGGCGTTTGACATTATTTTTCTAAATTTAAACTACTTCACTGGGTCCAGGGTAGAGTCAGAATCATTGCAGCGTCTATCAGCAGATTATTGTGCATTGTTGCCTCCCCCAAGGTCAACTATTGCAGCAGCATTCAGCCTTGATGGGAAGGCGCTGGCTTCTACACAGTAAGTTGTGATTTCCTTGTTGGTGCCTACTGTAAGGATGATATGTTTATGCCAAGAGATGTGTTTTCTTGAAAATACATTTTGTTTTTGTTTATGCAGTGGGGACCATACGGTAAAGATTATTGATTGCCAAACTGGAAGATGCTTAAGAGTGTTGTGTGGACACCGGAGGACACCCTGGGTGGTAGGTCTCTGTTATGATCACTTTGACATGATTTTATCTTTCCTATCCACCTCTATTCGACATGTTCCAAGAAAATCTATTCATATGAAAGCTACAATGAATCACATTTTTGGTAGCTTGCAGTAAATTTATTGGTAATAATGAGCTGCTTTCATTTATTCAATTCCTTGTGTGCACGGTAAGTAGATAAATTTTTTTAAGCTGAGAAGGTAGCTATATACTTTGGATATCCTTTCAGTTTGTTCAAGTGACCAAAATCTTCTCTTTCCTAGTGCTTATTAATAGGTTATGTTATCTTACCATGTTCTACATCTATAACAACTCCCCTAACCTTTTTATTTAAATTAGATTACTTGATTCATCTGTCACTATAGCACTATTACGAGCTGTATTTTGCCATCATGTCTCTTGAGACCTCAGTCCTTATTCATCTCAGTTTTTCAGTTTATTTCTTTAGTTCACTTTGCTGAATTTGATCCTTTGTACTAACCATTCATTATTATTAATTCTGAATGCCTAAACATTTTGGATGAAATGTGCAGCTTGTCCTTGATTGGTATGATGATGGCTTTCTTTTGCCTCATTACCTTGTGGTCTAGCGTTTTCTGTATCATATATTTTTTACCTTTGTGTATGATCTGATGTAAAAACAACATCTTTTGTTCTCTCTTTTTTTTTTTTTTTCCCTTGGGGTGGGTGGGAGGGAGATATTTTTGGAGTGTTACTTTTTTTCCTTGTTAACCATCCCATTTAATGCATGGCAACATTCACTAATTTATGAATGTATTCTGTTGAACCCCTTCCCATCTCATGTGCTTGTGCAACTCTTTCAGGTTCGGTTTCATCCATTAAATCCTGCAATACTTGCAAGTGGAAGTTTGGACCATGAAGTTCGGTTGTGGGATGCAAATACTGCAGATTGTATAGGATCACGTGATTTTTGTAATTATGTTTCAGAATCTCTTTTTGCAGCATTCTATGGATAATATTATGCGGAGACTATTAGTTTTTGCTGTGAGAATGATTCATTATTTCTTAACTTTTTCCCGTTCTGTGCAGACCGTCCTATTGCTTCTATAGCTTTTCATGCCCATGGGGAGCATCTTGCTGTAGCTTCTGGTCACAAGGTAAAGATTCTTGATTTTCAGACTAAACTTTAGAGTTTCATCCTGGCTTATCTTTGATGGTTTAAGAACTTCTGTGTTAGCTATATATATGGCACTATAACAGGAGAGGGGAGACATCTTCACCAAAAGTTATATTGAAGACACGCCGTTCACTACGAGCTGTGCATTTTCACCCTCATGGTGCTCCGTTTCTTTTAACGGCTGAGGTTACATTTTTTGTTCACATCTGATTACTACATGCTTTTGTCTTTCTTCTTGTGGATTCTTATATACTGCTTATTTGCAGGTCAATGACCTAGACCCATCAGAGTCCTCAATGACACTTGCAACCTGTCCAGGTTATTTGCGCTATCCTCCGCCTGCTGTATATATGGCTGATACTCGTTTTAGTGGTCATCCTACGTTGCCAGATGAGCCACCTCTCATGACTTTACCCTTCTTGCTGTGGCCTTCATTTGCTAGAGATTATGAGAGAATATCTTTGCAACATACTGATGGAGATGTTGGTGCAAGTCGTACACAAGAGAGAGTGGATTCTTCTGCTTCAGTGCGCCTTTTGACATTTTCAACTCCTTCAGGGCAGTATGAACTTGTGTTGTCTCCTATTGAACCTAATAGCTCATCTCCCATTCCAGAAGAAGCAGCGCCGGATTCTTTGGTTAGTGAAATGGTTAATGCAGTTCCTGAAACTGCTGTGGATACTGTGGAAGTGCAGCCTGAAGGAAGAAGTAATTATTCGTTCCCTTTGGGTGATCCAACAAATTGGGAGCTTCCTTTCTTGCAAGGTTGGTTATTTGGACACAGCCAAGCAGCACAGCACATAACTGGGCCGCTTAATGGTTCTGCTCATGATAACTTTGCAGCATCTGGTGAAATGGAAAATCTGCCAACTTCCTTCCTAATATCAAACAATGCTGGTCAATCTAGGGTCAGTGGAAGATCTGGTTCAGGGCATCAATCTTCACGATCCCACATAATATCTGGAACTGGATCTGGTGAAAGGACTGCTTTTGTTAACATCCCACATAGTGAAAGAGGTACACAACCTGTTGTTAGCAGATTTCAATCTGATTTGTCCACATCCCTGGCTTCAGCTGCTGCTGCTGAGTTACCTTGCACTGTGAAGCTAAGAATCTGGCCACATGATATGAAAGATCCATATGCTCATCTTGAAGGTGAATGGTGTCGCTTGACTATACCACATGCTGTACTTTGTAGGTATAACCTTTGTATTATATTAAATTCTTGGCATATTCCAGTTTCTTATAAAAAGTAAAAAAAAAAAAAAAAAAAGGTGTCGCTTGACTATACCACATGCTGTACTTTGTAGGTATAACCTTTGTATTATATTAAATTCTTGGCATATTCCAGTTTCTTATAAAAAGTAAAAAAAAAATTCTTGGTATTTTGATATTATGATGAACAACTTCAAAAGTTTAAAAACTGAAAAGCCTATGGTAGAACGAATGATCATTTGAGTATCGATTTTTCTTCAAAGATATTATACAAGCAACATTTGAGCTTAAGGATACAAATAATGAAATTAATATAGAATTTCTCTATATGAGCATTGATTATCTTCATTGGCTGTGTTGTCAGTTCTCATTGCAATGCTACAATTTATAGCATCCGAGGCATCTTCTTTCTAATGATAAATATTAGAACATGTTTACAGTGAGATGGGTGCCCATTTTTCACCTTGTGGAAGATATTTAGCAGCCTGTGTAGCATGTGTGTTGCCTAGTTTAGAAGCTGATGCTGGATTACAAAGTCAAGGGCACCATGATGTCTCAGGGGCTGGAACTTCCCCAACTCGTCACCCAATTTCAGCTCACCAAGTTATGTATGAGCTTCGGATATATTCCCTGGAGGAGGCAACGTAAAGCTTAAACATCTTATACATCGCAATTGTTTGGTCTTGTTTTTAGCAGATATTAATTTATATTCCTCAATTGTTCTGTTCTAACTAGATGTTATGTTTGTTCATTTAGGTTTGGTTTGGTGCTTGCATCTCGGGCAATAAGAGCTGCTCATTGTTTAACTTCAATTCAGGTTAGTTATATTGTGGACATCAATGTTCTGTTGCTTTAAATTACAACTTGCAATCTTTTCAAAGTAGAATTTGTGGTTCCCTCTGTGGGATTTGAGAATATCTATTTAATTTATTGTGAAGATCTTTTGTGTATATGATTCCTGAAATAAGTGCTAATTTATAAACTGTATGTACAAGATTNTCAGAAATAAACAAGTTCAACATAAGGAAACTGAGATAAAAGATTATAAATCTCCCCAAAAGATGAATCCTCTAGTTAGACATCGAGTCTTCTCCCTTTAACAAACCAAATCGCTCAAAGTTTACTTAGAAAAATGCAAAAGTAGCTAACCCTAAAAAAAACCAAGACTGCTGGGCAAAAGGCTAAGTTTTTCTTTTATACTTCGTCCAAATAACCCAGCCAAAACACGCACAGAATGAAACTGTGCGTTTAACAAAACTGAAAATAATGACTGTCGCCGCGACGAAGAGTGAAGCAGACACGCTCTTCCCTGGCTTACTTCGCCACGGCGAAGACAATTCCTTCGCCGGGGCGAAGCTTCTTGAAAAGTTCTAAAATTACAGAACTGCCGCTCTGCTTGCTTCTTCGTTTGACTCTTCGATTCTCGGTGCTTTCCCTTGGGAACAAGCTTCATCGTGCTTTATCCTGCTCCGAAACTCTCCTATCTTCTGAGATCCGCTGATTTCTAAGTCAAAAATATCCAATTTTGTCCTTATTTGCTCAAAAAGTCCATTTTAACCTGAAACACAAAAAGTAAAGAATTAAGCAATAATTCAGGTCAAAATGCACTAGAAAGTACCTGAAATCTGACAAAAATGTTTAATGAAAAGTGTATAATTCACAGATTATTAGTGGTCCATCATTACCCTCCCCAAGGAGTGCCACCTTGTCCTCAAGGTGGAAAGAAGGGAATTGGTGGCATATGGCAGCATAATCCTCCCATGTATTGTCACAATGGGAAAGTGACTTCCACTTGATTAGGATTTCATAATTACCATTCAGGAGGCACCGTTTACGCAGTGCCTGTTCAGGTTCGACTTGTAGGACCAGGTCACCGGTGAGTACGATGGGAAGGGGCTGGGTAGTCATAGGGGCAGCGGTGGCTCGTTTCAGTTGCGAGACATGAAAGACATCATGTATCCGGGCTGTGGGGGGTAAGTTGAGGCGATACGCAACCTGACCCACTTTGGCCGTAATGGAGAAGGGTCCGTAGTAACGGAGGCTGAGCTTCTCATTGACTCACCTTGCGAGGGAGCAAAGACGGTAAGGCTGAAGTTTCAGGTAGACGGAGTCCCCTATGGCCAAGTGAACTTCCCGACGTTTTCCATCAGCATATTGTTTCATGTGTTCTTGGGCCCTAGTCAGGTTCAGCTTTAATTCCTCTAAGATGGAATTGCGGGCTGCTAGTTGCTGGTCTATGCCATCCACCACAGAAGAGTTCTCACTATATTTTAAAAGAATGGGAGGGTCGCGACCATAGAGAGCCTTGAACGGAGTCATTCCTGAAGAGTGGTTGTAAGTGGTGTTAAACCAGTATTCTGCCCAGGCTATCCATTTGGGCCACTGATGCGGCTGATGCCCTGCAAAACAATGGAGGTAGGTTTCGACACAACGGTTGACAACCTCTGTTTGACCATCCGTTTGAGGATGGTAGGCGGTACTCATTTGGAGTTGAGTTCCTGACTGTTTAAACAATTCCCCCCAGAATAAACTCATGAAAATTAGGTCACAGTCGGAGACAATAGTGCAGGGAAAGCCATGCAAACAGACAATTTCTGTAAGGAACAGGTTGGCCACTTCTTGAGCTGTAAAAGGGTGGCACAAGGGAAGAAAGTGGCTATACTTCGTAAGGTGATCCACCACAACCAGGATGGTGTCCAGCCTGTGAGCTTTAGGAAGCCCCCCAATAAAATCCATGGACACGTCTTCCCAAACCTAAAAGGGAATGGGTAGAGGTTGTAAGAGGCCAGCCGGTTGCAGTGCATCATATTTGTTCTGTTGGCAAACTGAGCAGGCCTTTACAAATGCCTGGATATCCTGTCTCATTCCCTCCCAATAAACCACTTGCACCAGTCGCTTGTAAGTACGAAAATAACCAGAATGACCACCTGTGGAGGAAGAGTGAAATTCCCGTAGAAGTTGCTGCACTTGGGGACAGGATTTGGGCAGCACCAAACGATCATCATAGTAAAGTAAGGAATCCACTAACCTGAATTGCGAATGGCTGGACGAATCGACGATCAGATCTTGATAAATTTTCTACAGCTTGCTGTCACGTTGAATGGCCTCTACCCACTCTTCTTTTTTAGCAAAATAACATATTGAAATGGATGTACACTCAACCGTGCCATCACGTCGGGATAAGGCATCTGCAGCTTTATTTTCTAACCCGGGTTTATACTGTATTTCATAGTTCAATCCGAGCAGCTTGATTATCCATTTGTGTTGTTCTTCGCCTTGTAACCGCTGCTCATTCAAATAGTGAAGGCTTCGCTGATTGGTTTTAATAATGAAACGGCGACCCAACAAGTAGTGGCGCCATTTTTGAACAACAAGGACCACGGCCATCAGTTCTCTCTCGTAAACCGAACGAAGCCGCGAGCGAGTGGAAAGACCTTGACTTAAGAAGGCAAAGGGTCTGCCTTCCTGCATTAGGACAACCCCGATACCGTATCTTGAAGCATCTGTCTCAATGACGAATGTTTTTGAAAAGTCTGGCATGGCGAGGACTGTAACAGCAGTCATTACCTATTGCAATTCTTCAAATGCCTTTTGTGCTACCTCAGACCACACAAAAGAATCCTTACAGAGCAGATTTGTTAAGGGTAAGGCAATTGCCCCATAACCATTGACGAATTTTTGATAATATCCTGTCAAACCCAGAAACCCACGGAGCGCCTTCACATCCTTCGGAACAGGCCATTTTAATATGCAATCTACCTTGGAAGGGTCAACGGCAATTCCTTGGCCTGAAATGATGTGGCCTAAGTATTCCAACTTACATTGCCCGAAAGTGCATTTTTTCTTGTTAACCACCAACTGGTGGTCGAGTAGAACCTGAAATGTGAGTCTCAAATGGTGCGAGTGTGCCTCTGAGTTAGTACTGTAAACCAATATGTCATAAAAAAAAACCAAGATGAACTTACATAAGTATGGTTTGAAAATGTTGTTCATGAGAGCTTGGAAGGTGGACGGTGCATTCGATAATCCGAAGGGCACTACTAGAAACTCGTAGTGCCCTTCATGTATGTGGAAGGCTGTCTTATGAGTATCTTCCTCCCGGACACGAATTTGGTGATATCCCGACTTAAGGTCGAGCTTTGAGAATATCGTGGCCCCGCCTAACTCGTCAAATAACTCGTCCACTATCGGTATCGAAAACTTATCGGGTATGGTGACTTTGTTGAGCGCTCGGTAATCGACGCAGAAACGCCATCCTCCGTCTTTCTTTTTAACCAAAAGTACCAGGCTAGAAAAGGGACTGATACTCAGCTTGATAATTTCAGAAACCAACATTTCCTGTACAATCCTCTCTATCTCATTCTTCTGATAATATGGGTACCGATAAGGTTTGACATTGGGGACTAGAGCTGCCTGTTCGAGCCTGATAGCGTGATCACAATGTCTTACCGGTGGCAGTCCGGGTAGCGTTTCAAATAAGACTTGGTATTCCCTCAATAGTGCACCCCAATTACCCTCATCCGTTACTTCTTCATGCTCTTGCACCTGCAAATTATTAATTTCCAACAAGTAGTCTGGCCCTTCATACTGGATCATTTTTAAAATCCTTTTCAATGACAACTTGGTTCTGCTCAGAGAGGGGTCCCCAATCAACACGATAATTCTTCCGGACTGGTTGAATTTCATCACTGATTTTTTCCAGTTCGTGGTAATTTCTCCCAGTGTCTCTAACCATGCAACCCCCAAAATCACATCAGCACTAGTCATATCGAAGGGGTAGAAGTGTTGGACTACTGAAATATCTTACAGCTGTAACTTCACCGCGCGACATTCCCCTTGACAGCTTACCCTGTACCCATCACCAACTCTGACTCCAAACGTTTTAGTAGAGGTTATAGGGAGTTTGAGCTCATCCACTACCTGTCGGCTGATGAAATTGTGAGACGCCCCGCTGTCAATTAAAACCACCACATTTCTTCCCGCAATCTCCCCTTTGAGCTTCAAGGTTTTTGGCCCACTGATACCTTCCACGGAATTGATGGAAAGCTCCATTGTTCCTAATGCATCTTCTTCCCCTTTGAGTTCCTCTACAGATAGCTCATTCACCTCCTCAGGATCTTCAACTTCCAACAATAGAACTTGTACCTGCTTATCCCCACATCTATGACCCAGAGAATACTTCGCGTCACAACGATAGCACAAACCCCTCTCTCGTTTGTGTTGGATCTCGGCTTCCGTCATTTGCTTGAAGGGAAACTCGTGTCGGACTGAATCTGGGCGAAAGTTGACTGACGATGGCGAGTTGGGGCTGGAGTGGGTTTCGTTTGGGTTGCGTCGAACAGGTGGTTGTGGTGTTGAGTGGGTTGATGAGTGTTGACTTGGGTCAAAAGCATGTTGGGTTTTGTAGCTTCCATCGGGTCGAGTTGACTGGGCATAAGATTTTGCACCAAAAGGAGATGAATTCCATTTAGTTACACGCGCAGATCCAAATTTGATTTCCTCCACAGTTCTATTCCTTTCCTCCACACGCTGGGCCAATTGGGCCACACTAACTAATGAATTGGGCTGTTGGAGTTTGATTTCAGCTTTTACTTCAGGCCTAAGCCCATTCAGAAATGCAGCAGTGAGCACCTCTTCCTTCTCATTTGTCATTAAAGCTGCGACTTCTTCAAATTTTCGGCGATAATCTAGAATCGTGCCTGTTTGCTTGGTGGCCATCAGCAGCTCCAAGGGACTCACTTCTTGGGTCCCGCTAAACCTTTGGGAGAGAGCTATTTTAAACTCCTGCCAATTACTTATCATTAACCTAGTTTCCATCCATTGATACCAATGGAGGGCTTCTCCCTCCATGCATAGTGCAGTGGCTGCTACCCTATGTTCTTCAGCTATCAAGTTGAAAGTTAAGTAACGTTCCACCTTAAATATCCATCCATACGGGTCTTCACCGGAAAAGATAGGTAACTCCAATTTTCTCCCCTTCAATTCACGATGGTGCCAACCTTCACGCCCTTGGTTCCAAGTTTCTCCGGATGGGCCACCCTGCAGATTCTTCGGTGTCCTACCTTCAAAGTTTCCCCCTCCCGTGGGCACTCCTTGATTTCCTACATTCTCATGTTCATTGTGCTCAACCCTGCCACGACTTGAGTTTCCGAAATTTCTCCTTCGTTCCTTCTCTTCTTCATCTTTTTTTCGCATCCAATTTTGCATATCGATTAAAATCTCCCTCATGGTGTTCACCGTTTCAGTAACTTTAGCTACATCCTTCTCAATGTTATCTATTCTATTATCCATCCTTGTTCCAACCATGCCCTGAATCAAGCTTGGCTCTGATACCAATTTGAGGGAACCAACCCAAGTAACTCAGTTACTCATGCATTCAATCACTCATTTTAGACTAAAATCAACCAAGAACAGAAAAGAGGCAGTGATTGTCTTGCTTAAAATGGATATTTGGATTGATATTCAGTAGCTCATTACAGTGAATTAAACAAAAACGAAAATATGGCTAAAACAGAAAAATTTAAGAATCCAGGCTGATCTTCGAGGGTCAGCTCCTCCCCACAATTCCCAACAATATTCTCAATCCTCCCCCCTCTGTTGGTTCTCCTTTTATTCCTTTATTTGTCATGCTAGCTGTGTTGTTGTTCCACCTGTCAAACAAACTCATTCACGCTTGTTGTGCTGCTGCCTTACTTGTTATGCTGCTGCTCCAGCTGTCCTGTATGACTCTTCCTTCTTTGCCCCTTACGGTTATACCACTTGACTATTGGTGGTCCATCATTTTGTAACTACTGTTTGATGAGTAATACTTACTCATTCTAAATGATATTCTTTATGTGTAGATTATAAACATTTTCTTCCTTGTTTTGTATTATATGTGAATGTTATGAAGGGGTTTGTGTATAGTGGATATTAGATAAAGAACTATGTGTTTTTTTTTATTTATTTATTTATTTTTTATTTGGTGCTGTCAATTTACTTGAATAAAATCTTATTTTGTTCAAGCTATGCCAACAAGTGTTTGGAAGGTCCTCAATATCTTTTGGGTTTCAGTAATAGTTCCAATGCTTATACCAGTTAAACTTCCCTTGAAAGTTCCACTCTTTGGAAATAAAGTAAACAAAAAATCTTAAGTTAGCTTTTCTACAACCAACAACTTCCTGCAAATTTAATCCAAGCATCGTATAAAATTTGCAACTACAGATAAAGATAGCTATAGTTACTTGCAACTTGAGCAATGCCAAGACCGAGACCAATTATTAAGTGAAAGACATGACTCCAGCAACAATAGAGTCACCATATCTGATCAAAGTCAGGAATTTGAGAGAGAATAATTTGTGTCATGACAAGCTATTTGCAAGTGTATGAAATCGCACTAATAATAAAGCTTAAGTAATGAGTATCGAATCCTAAGAGAATTATCAATATTCCTTAAGAAAGAAGTATCAAAAGCAAAACAAATTAAAAAGTAAATAGCAGCAAAATTATTATCAAACTTTGGTTAAAAATCAATATGACTAAACCTAGGGCACAGATTTTACACCAATTTAATCTTATGCATTGATAATTATTGCTAACCTCATTAAACTTATTCTAAAGGCCAAATTTCCTAATATTTTGCTAATTTTCTCTCGAACAATTACCAAATTAACTCATAATCAACAACCCAAAATATCTCTAAAGTGAATTTAGCAGTTAAGAGATCACTAAGTTTTATGGAATTTACCAGAGCCTCACATATCGCAATAACCTATCTCTAGCGTTCGCTCAATCTGTGGAATTCATAGCAGTACCTCTCCCTAACAGTAGCTCCAAACAAGGCTGGCCTGTTAGTCGAGCCGGCTAGGCTGGGCTCGTGTAGGGCTTGAGAAACACTTAGCTCGAACTCGTTATAAAAATCGAGCTGAGTTCGATCAGCATATGGCTCGGCTCGATAGGCTCCCGAGCCTGAACTGGCTCGTATATGTAAGGTCATTTTAGTTACTTTTAGAAAGTATGGGAGACTAAAATATTGTTAAATCCTAAACCTTCGTAAATATGATAATTCACCCCCCAATGAAAGAATTGGTAAAACACGAAATAAGTATAATACTACACATATAACATTTTTATACAATATTTCTTATACAACATAATGTAGCAAAAGATGATTGACTGATTTTAAATTAAAAATAAACGTTTCATCTATTCATCTTTTGTCATATCATGTTGTATGAGAAATATTGTACGAAAATGTTGTATACGTAGTATTCCTCCGCAAAATAAATCCTGGAATCAAATTCCCTAGATCAAAGTAGAGTTAAACGCCGTTCTTCCCTAAATCTTGAATCCCTAAACATTTCAGTTTGTAATCTTTTTTCTCGTCTTGAAGTTTTCCCACTAAACATTCTCTTTCTCCCCTCAACACCAGGTGTGGATGGATGTAAAAAGAGTGGCAGAAAAGAGGAGAAATCTGGAGAACGTGAGGAGAAAAAGAAAAGAGGAGAAGAAACGTATTCATCATTCCTTTTTTTTTTTTTTTTTTTCCCTTTTCCCCTTCTCTATCCGTCTTACATGTATCCTTTTCAATCAATTTTTTCTCTCCTATTTCCTTTTATGGAGAGAGCTAACTTCTTTTGTTTTTCCCCTTCCAGTTTCCTGATCAACGGAGAAAGCAGAGGAAACAACTAAAAGGAAATGCCGATTAAAATATCTTCTCAAAGTTGTTTTATGCAATGTCTATTGTCATTATCTTTCCCTAATATTACATGTTCGTAGCTGGAGGCTTTCAAAGTTCTTACACTTGAGAAAATAAAATTCTAAACTTGAGCATAGCATTTATACAGTGCCAGTAATACTGGGAAATGGGAAGCTGGGCACCTAAACTTACTGCAGGTGCTGAAATGATTTTGATCAAACGAGCTTTGACCGAACGGGCTCGAATTTGAGCTCGTCTAGGCCTTCCCACAAATCGAGTTCGAGCCGAGCCATGAAATTCAAGGCTGGACAGGCTCAACTCAAACTCAAGCTCGAACCGTTTGCTATGAGTTGAACTCGATTAGTTAAAAACTCGACTCAGCTTAACTCGATTATAGTCCTTCCGCTCGGACAAAATAGAAAAAGGACAGTTCAATTACAAGCTGCTATTTATTGATTCCAACAGCCGAAACGAAAGATGGATGAACATTATCACGTCAGTTGTTTGGATGGTATTAATTTGATGGCTGATTTGTTGGTGGCCAGCTGTGTCATGAGAAGTTAATAGATGTACAATAAATGAACAGAGACAGAGACATACTAGCATTAATTGGCTTAACTTCTTGTATATTTGCACTTGGAAAATAGACAAACTTATATATAAACTGAGGACGCAGGAATTATTCGATTCTACGTCCATGGATACATTGGTCCTGTTTCGTTTGATTAAAGATGAAAAAGAAACAACAACAAACTAAGAGCAATACCAGTGACATGACTGTTTAGGTGATATGAACATGAACAATAACTGAAAATCCTAATCAAATTCTTCCTTGTCTTGGAAAATGTTGATGAATGGCGACTACCATTTCGATTCAACAGAACTAATAGCCGGTCGAGAAGGGCTTAGGAGACTTAAGGGTAAGAGTAACTCCTGCAATAGACCCGGCAACGGCAGCTATGGTGATAACAAGGCAAGCAAAACTTAGGATTTGGAGGCAAAGCCATTCTGTGCTCCACTTTGGTATCTTCTTTTGTGCTATGTAAATCTCAACAGGGAAGTAGACTGTGAGTGGCCAAAATCCTAGAGCTCCAAGGAGACCAACTACGTCGTTAAAGAATGGAAGAAGCATCGAAATCACAGTGGTTAGGATCACGAAAATTGTCCTCCAAACCAAACGGAAGAAGTTGAGACTGAAGGGTCTAAATCCTGGAATTGGGATTTTAATTTCTTTGGTGGTAAGGTAGCTGTCTGGGAATCTTGCAGCAGCTTGCTTCTCAATGAATGCGAAGAGCGGCCGGCAGTACACTTGGTATGCACCAACAAGGTGGATAACAATGGCTGCATTGATTATGTCAGGAAGCCAGGAAGGGCTATAGAAACTGAAACCAGTGAGGAGATTTCCAGGTGATACGTCTCCAAAGGCGGCATAGCCTGAGCAGCCACAGAGCATGTAGAATATAGTTGTTACTCCAACACTAACTAGTAATACCTTTTTCATTGTCTTTGCTTCTGATGGTGGGGATTTTACTGGTCCCTGTTACATACCAATTATACATTAGTTTATATCAGCATCTAAATTATCCCAAAAGATAAAAAAAAAAAAATATATGAATATATATATATATATATATATATATCAAACACTTCCGGTTTTGGTATTTATTAGCAATATATATATATATATATACACACACCTGAATTTCAATGAGGAGGATAGAGTAAGAATAGGTAAAAGCTATGCCTCCAAGTGCTTGGAAGGTCCTCCATATCTTTTGGGTTTTAGTAACAGCTCCAATGCTTATACCAGTTAAACTTCCCTTGAAAGTTCCACTTTCTGGAAATAAAGTAAACAAAAAATCTTAAGTTAGCTTTTCTATAACCAACAACTTCCTGCAAATTTAATCCAAGCATAGTATTAAATTTGCAACTACAGATGCAGATAGCTATACTTACCTGCAACTTGAGCAATGCCAAGACCGAGACCAATTATTGACTAAGTGAAGGACATGACTGCAGCAACAATGGAGAGCCACCATAACTGATCAAAGTCAGGAATTTGAGAGAGAATAATGTGTGCCACGCCAAAACCAATCATATATGGATTGCTATTCATATGGCATGGGTTCTTGCCACCGCTACTGTGGAAACAGTTTGACCTCTCGATAGCCCTGATTGACCAAAAACCAAAAGATTCATTAAGCCACTAAAACAACAAACATCAAATTCTATTTAGAATGCTTAGTTAAAATAAAAATAAAAATAGAGACAAAAAACAAAAAACCTTACATCATGCTTATATATGAGGCAATATTGAAGCTAATGGCAACACCAAAAAGATTCAGGTATTGAAGAAGCCCGCATATTTTACATTTAACTGCACCTGTGGAAAAACAAAAGGGAAAAAGTAATTTAGATATTTGAGTGAAAGCCAACTGCTTAATTGATAGATATTTTGACAGTGGTGAAATTTACCAAGGTTGGATCGAACAACGTCCATGTAACTATAATTTCTCCTGCCATTGACAGAATCCTCTGAACGGTAGCAAGTAGCCAGAAGACTAGAAGTGTAGTAAGTGACCAAAGAGAATAAGAGTATGACAGTTGGCCCCACAATCCATCCCAGCTGAGCTGTGGCCCAAGGCAGGGACAGAACTCCCGACCCAGCAGTTATTAGGTGAGCACTTGCAGTCCAAACAGTCCCTGGTTCAAAAACATAACATAAAAAGAAGAATAACTAATAAACACGTTAACAGAAGTACTATTTCTACTTACCAAAAGCATAACATCTTTACTTTTTGCTTTAAGAAAAGTAAATTACCAGTTCGCTTGAGGCGGCCATCATCATCGAAGCGCTTGGAGCCGCCTTGAGCATGCACGTCAAGGGAAATATCAAAATCTTGGTTCTGATGAAGGTAGTTCTTATTGCCAGTATTCTCACCCATCTTTGTTATCACAGAGAGCAGGAAAAATAAGCCTTTCTTTAAGCAACTCTACTTAAAAATTATTCAGTAACTCAATGTACTGTAAATGAGAATCAACCAAGGCAAGCTTCTAAGAAAAGTTGAAAAGAAGAGATATCAGTCTTGTTTCTTTGATGGATCTAAGTCTAGTTATGACTTGATTCAAGTGACACAGCTTTTCATCTCCTCACCTTTCAGGAGTCACAGAAACTCAAAAGGATTCAGAGCTCTTACTCAAGATGAGTAGGCTAGCTGGCTAGCTATAGCTTGAAAGAGAAACAGAACCAAACAATTAATGTTATTTTTCTGCGGGAGAAAAAGAAATGAATCGAATTCTGTGTACAAAACGAGGCATGGAACTGGGGTATATATAACTGATGAGAAGCAAGAAGGCAAGGGCCACGTGGTGTAAAACACACACAGACTACAAGCGTGTATGTCAACCACCAGTTTGACCCAAAAACTTCACCACCTTCGGAGCTATTTCTCTCTGTAATAAAAGGTTTTGCAAATATTTCCCACCGTTTGGCTCTACCCCACACGATCACTTTCTCACTGCTCTGTTTTTCATTTTTCTACAGTAACAATAACTGAAATTGTTTCTGCAGTCAATATCCCCAACAAAATATCTCTGTTTTTTAGCCCACTTATATTTTTTTATTTCTATTATATCTTCTCAAACACTAATCTGCAAAAAGCAAGCTTGGAGTTGTATATTTTTCGAAGATATGATAGTTTCAAAAGTTCGCTTTTTCCTGAGCTAACTACGCATGAGGCAAATGCTGAACGGGATGCTAATGAATGCCATGAAATGTAATTTAAACACAAAACGTTTCTGTAGACTCATACCTTCATGGTCACCCCTTCTTCTTCGTGTAGAATGGCTAGCTCTCTGGAGCTTTCAGAAACTCTCCTTTCTTGAAAGGAGGGTACAATAACAACTCCTCTAAATGAAGAAGGGAATTGAAGAAAGTGCATATCTTGGATCGAGCTCCATTGCTTATATAGTAGTTGGAGAAGAAATTAGTATTATTATGTTTATCTGTAGAAAAGAACCACTTGTGAATCAAAATTCTCAGGTGTATGGCTTCTCATCCATCGTTATTGTAACCGAATATGTTCCTTTTCATCATTCATTCCCATAACAAGAAAGAAGTGAATGAGCAATGAAGAGAGGACATGATATTATTAATTAATTAATAAATTATTTATTTTACCAGTCAAATGTTTAATAATCTTTTTTTTTTTTTTTTTCAGTGAACAAAAAATGGTGTCACTACTCAGTCGTTCTTGATGATTATTGCCATTGATAGGTGGACATGCAGTATCTAATTCTATTGTTTGGTTCCCAATAACTGAGGACTGAAAGGTGATCTTCCATTCTTCCTAATTCCATCCATGTTTAATAGAGGAACGAATTGGACGTGCGCTTGCTTTAATTTAATTTTCTTCGTTTTTTCTGCACCTCTCTTCTTGTGTTCACTAAGATGCTCTTAATTAATCTTTTGTTCAATTAGTAATTAATATTTGGTGGCAACCGAGAGGTAACCTGTTTCCCATTTAAAATCTCATTTTGGTTTGGGTTAGAATGAATCATATATTAATTTATATATGGTACATGAACAACCCTAATTTAATTTATATGTGCATGTGCATGTGCTTTTTATTATATAGTTGTGATTAATATAAATAAATATGTTGTTGACGCTTGATTTTGGACGTCGACGACTCGCACGTGAGAAGCGCTAAACGGACTTAAGAATCACACATGATTGATCTATGAGATTTGAATATGAAGCTGAGATTATATATGTTGCAGAAAACATAAATAATAAGTTGACAAGAAAGGTTTTTATAGTGGTTCGGATGCTCAACAAGCGACTCCTACATCCACTGTTATTTTATTGATCTCTGACTATTTCTATGATATTGTCCATAAGGCATACAAAGATGAAGAAATACAGTGTTTACAGACAGAAAGAATTGAGCTCTTATCTATGGTTAACTCTCATATGTCCAGCCCCCCTCTTCGGGAAGAGGAGTGCCAATTTATACACCCTTGCACTCAAATGTAATGAATGTTTTGCAAGTTATCTTAACACATGGAAGACTCTCATCCATTCATCTCTTGAAATGAGATATGATTGGTATGAATATCTTTGAGGAGATATGGACTTGGCAGCTAGTACAAAAAAATATTTATTAGGCTGACATAAACGTGACTTTTGAGACATAACATAAGTGAACTTTAATTTTGATCTTTATCGAAAATACAATCGAAAGATTCTAAATCATATAGTGCATGTAAAAAGAGTTTATTTTTGGCGACATCGAAAATCCATGGCCTAACTTTACAGAAATCTTCATCATGACCATGTATTTGCTCACTCGGGCGAATCAGACAAGGGTTTTTAGGGTGATATTATTAACTTTAAAGGATGTTTATATATATATATATATATACACAAAAATATTATACAAATTATAAAGAATTGAATTAAATATATTGCTCCCCACCAAGAGTGCTAGTAATTAATCGACTAGATTAATTAGACCAAACAAAGATTAACTTGATATAAAATAATCAAGTGGAGGCAGATTCATTTTGTCCTCTACACGTGGCAATATAAGCAACACAAAGAATGGGACATTAATTGTTACTTAAATTAGAGTTTACCATAATTAAACGCCCATTTCGATTAATTTAATTAAAATTATCTAATTTGTTAACTACTTGGATTGAAATGTGTACGCATTTTTATAGACAATGAATAAGAATAAGAATAAGTATAATAACAGAAGAAACTGCAATAAAATGTTATGTTCTGTTCATATGAAAGAATATGACCACTCCACTAATTAAGGGATGCGTGAAACTGTTTAGAAAAAGTTGATGAAGACTGGAGTGGTGAAAAAATGAAAGCCATTCACAAAATGAATAATAATTGGATTCTCTTCCAGTAATTTAAGTTTTTACCCAATTAAATTTATAGAATAGATCTTGACAATGCTGCATGTATACATGAATAATAGATATATTAAACTAAACGTCCTAGGGAAATGATGAAATAATATAAAGAGATTGATTGATGTGTACGACTTATTCTGCTAATTAATTTATAATTAGGTGCAAAAGTGGGTAATATTTATATATTTTTCATTGTAACAAGTCGGACTGTTGTCAATTTAAAGGATATCAACAATGTTATAGACATAGGTGTTTTTACACCGAAATTTTATATCGGCTTACGTATGTGCTAACTTAGACCATTCAACTTATTTTTGCGTTATTAAATTTTATTTAATGAACGGTCATCCATAACATATGGATGATCGTTCACTAATATGGACTCCCATCCATATTATATGGACAGGAGTCTATTTACTACGGCCAGACGTCCTCATTTAGAGGACGTTTGTCCATTGCTAAATGAAATAAAAAATATTAAAAAAAATTAGGGACGATCGTTCATAACCTATGAACGGCTGTCCATACATATTGGACGGGCGTTCATATGTTAATGGACGCCTGTCCCTTAATTTTGGACGGGCATCCATTAAATAAAGGACGCCCGTCCTTTTTTCAAAATACAAAAATTTTAAAAAAATCTAGGACGCCCGTCCATAATTTGGTTTAAAAAGATTTAAAAAAATATTTGGACGCCCGTTCATAAATTATGGACCGGCATCCCTTAAGTATGGACAGCCATCCATACTTAAGGGACCCCCGTCCATTCCTTATGGACTGTCGTCCTTTATTTTTGGACAGGCGTCCCTACTCTAATTAAAAACAAAAATTTAAATTAAATAACTTTTAGGTTAAAAACTTTTGGGGAAAGCGTTTAAAAAAAAAATCGGCAGCTGTCTTCTTCTTCTTCTTCCATCTGCGCTCTGCTTCATCGTGTTCTTCATCTCTGGTCCATCGTCTTCTTCAGCTCAAAAAACAAATCAGCAGTGGTAATTAGACACTTTCGTTTTTCAATTTTATTTTTTTTATGTTGGATGAATGTATTGGATTTACATTTGTGTTGAGTGGAGTTGATTTGATAAAGAGAAATCCAGTCAATTTGGTGGGACTGGTTTGTGTGATTGACAAATAGAAGTGTTCTGTTTTGGGTGTTTTAGAAGAAACTGCTATATGCAATCAGTGAAGGGCAGGGATCTTTTGATTTATCGTGAGTTGTTCAAACTAACCAATCGAGCTTTTGTATATTATAAACATCAGAACAATGTGAGGGTCAATTTTCTTCCCTAGGGATTATTCATCTTCAAAAGTAGAAATCCCATTTGGTCAAATAATGGCTTCTTTTCATTGCCCTTATAATATGTTTGCATCATTGACAACGTTAGTTTTCATTTTTTTTTCCTCCTGTTGAGGTTTTGCTATCATAGGTCATAGCTTGCTGGGGTGTGTGGGTTTCATATTTTATATAGTTGATTATTAATAGATAGATATATTTATTGGTTCTTATGTGTTCGGGTGAGACCTCAGGCTGTCATAGCTTGTGCCCACACGAGTTTGATAGGCTGCTTTTAGATTTAAGATTGAATGTGAATCCGAAAACGGTTTTGAATTTCTTTTACTTTGCATCTGACTCTTGTAAGTTTCGGTTCACAGTTCGGTCTTATTGTCTTTTGATTCGTTTGCTTCTTTTTTCCAACCTTTTATCGCCTGCAAGATTGCTTTTGATTCGTTTGATTGATGGAAAGATGCCGGTTGTGTATTTGAATAATCCCAAAGATAGGCACAGATAGCTGCTGAAATTGTTGATTTAAATGTGGTTACTCAGCGGGACATTGGTTTTCAAGTGCATAAGAAATGGTTTTGTTCTAGATATCTATACGTATGGGGTTATGATAGATGGGTATGGTAAAGCTGATAAAACTGAAGAAGGTGAAAATCTTTTTAATGAGCTCATCTCTAAGAAAGTATCACTAAATTCTGTTATTTATAATACACTAATTGGAGCATACTGTAAAAA